GCAATATTGAGTTGTGTCACTACGGTCTCACACAGACAAAAATCGACAACACTGGCTTATTTTTACAAATACCCAGTTGAAACACACATTCATGTCATGTCCGTACACGAATAGGCCTATAAAAATAAATCGACTCTCATGAATATACTAGAGACGGAAAGTTATCGACGTGATGGTATCGACATGTATTACGTACTGGTTAATCACGTAAATATATGAAAAATGTTATTCCACCCTTGGCTAGACTGGATGTAGGTTAGATAGAAGAGGTAAGATTTCTTTTTCCAATTTTGTGACTAATGTGATATTGTTTTACTTGTATTAGAGGAAATTGCCCATTGACTTACCAGTAAATGGATGACAGTAAACACAATCCAAAGTCTAAACCAAAAACCGCAAAAAAATATCCGGAGTTCTTTTGGCTTTTCGCGGTCAGCGTTGGAGCCAATGACAAGTATGGCCGGAGTTAACCTATACAAACATAGTGACATGTATAGAAATATTTAAAAAAACTAAAACATTTAATTGAAATTGTAGTCATTTATTGCTTAATTTTGTTTGCAACAATTTAAAGGCCCAAAAATTATACATATTCAGCTTGTACTGGAAAATTACAAAATGCGCCATATTTACCTTCTAGTGAAAACTACTTGATCACAAGAGTGACGGAGTAGTCTTGTTTTATAGTATTATGTTGAATTTTATACGAATTCACTTCAAGTAAGTAATAGGAGTTGTGAGAACAACAAAGCGGCGGGCGATGTTGGAATCACTACAGAACTTCTGAGAGCGGGCAGTAAGCCGATACTTAAATTCCTCCAGAAGCTTTTCAATTCTGTCATCGTTGAAGGTCAAACGCCAAAGGTCTGGGGCAGAAGCGTGGTCGTCCTGTTCTTCAAGAAGGGTGATAAAACACCCTTGAAAAACTATCGGCCAATCTCGTTTCTGAGCCATATCTATAAGTTGTTTTCGAGAGTTAACACGAATCGTCTCGCTCCCAGGCTTGACGACTTTCAACCTCCCGAACAACCCGGTTTCTGAAAAGGTTTCAGTACCATAGACCACATCCATACGTTGCGGCAGGTTATACAGAAGACTGAGGAGTATAACCGGTCAGTTTGCTTAGCGTTTGTGGACTATGATTCGATTGAGACCTGGGCGGTGCTGCAGTATCTACAAAGGTGCCAAGTAGACTATAGGTATATCGAGGTGTTAACGTACCTATACAAAAACGCCACTCTAGCAGATCAGAGCTCTAATCCTATCTAACTGCAACGAGGCGTGAGACAAGGAGATGTGATATCTCCGTAATTGTTCACTGCTGCGTTGGAGGATATTTTCAAACCTCTGGACTGGAAAGGACTTGGCATCAACATCAACGGTGAGTATCTATCACACCTTCGATTTGCCGATGATATAGTTCTTATGGCTGAGACCTTGGGAGACCTGAACACAATGCTCGAAGATCTCAGTAGTGTTTCCCAAAGAGTGGGTCTTAAGATGAACATGGACAAGACGATGCCCATGTTGTACCCACTCCAGTTAAAATTGGGAGCACTATACTCGATGTTGATGACCATTACGTATACCTGGCACAGAGAGTCCAGTTAGGTAAGCCAAACTTTGAGAAAGAGATCTCACGTCCAATTCAGCTCGGATGGCCAGCGTTCGGGAAACTACATGAAATCTTTGCGTCCAAATTACCTCACTAGATCACATATGGATCGGAAACGTGGTCCCACACTATGGACCTCATAAGAAGGCTCAAGATCAATCAGCGGGCAATGGAGAGAGCGATGCTTGTATTTCCCTACGTGATACAATCAGAAATGAGGAAATTCGTAGGAGAACTAAGATAACCGACATAGCTCGAAGAATTGCACAGCTGAAGTGGCAGTGGGCGGTGCACATAGCTAGGAGAACCGATGGCCGTTGGGGCGGAAAGTTTCTTCAATGGCGACCGCGCATCGGAAGACGCTCAGTGGGTGCGCCACCCACCAGGTGGACCGACAATCTGGTAAAGGTCGCGGGAAGCCCATGGATGCGGGCAGCGCAGGACCAATCGTAGTGGGGATCGTTGGGGGAGGCCTATGCCCAGCAGTGGGCATAGGCCTCCGCCTATGGCTTAGGCCTTCAGCCTATGGCTGAAATGATAATGATGATGAATAAGAGTTGTGCAGATATACAGGTACATATAAATATTATAAACGTGAAAATAGCAGTATCTCTCAGTTGGTAGTTCTGACATGCTGTAAAAATTGTATCGATGTTTCGAATTCCTAGGTTCCAACTAAACGTAAAACTCAAAGCTTCATAATCTCGAAAACCGATTTATAACAAAACCGTTATGCTTTCAGGGGATTAGGTTGCTTATTACAAAGAAAAGATTAAGTTACTTTGTTTTGTAATATTCCTAAAATAATCTAAAAAAATATATTTGGGATTACAAAAATTTACAAACATTATTTCAGGCAAATGTATTTTCGGACTTCTGATTGATAACTCCAAACAGTAAAACGAATACAACAATATTTTGTAAGTTATTTATTACTAACATTTAATAAAAAGTAATTTTAAAAATAAGATTAACATTAAATCAACTCTATAGTTTCTTTGTTCTAAATCTAAATATTTCAATCGCTAGTGATTCGAAAATTGAAATTGACGTAACCGGTCTTTTTTTGTCTTTTGCGCATATCTTGTGTAGGATAAGGACAGTTAGCTATTTGGTTATTTTGGTTGCTTTTGTAATTTATGTGTAGATGGTATGTAAGTACGTAGGTACTCGTATGTGTACTTTTTATTTTTCTTTTTTCTTACAGCACGGCGTGATTTATGATGATTTATATTAAAACAATTACAATTTATTTTCATTACTTATAATTTATTACATTATTATTTAATATATATAATACAACGGAGAAATCAATTTGAACAAACTTCGTTATATAATCTATCGATAAAAATCGGAGCTAAAAACACGTTCGCTTCTCTATAACGAAAAAACAGTGTTTGCAAATATTTTATATGTAATCGATAAACTTAATCAATGTGATCATTGTGAAAAAAATGTGTTAAAATAGAAAACTAATAATTAATGTAAAAATCTCTGCTACTGGATGTAGCAGAGATTTTTTTGCAAGTTTGTATGTCGCAAGACGACATAGGTATTTCATAGAGCACTTGACTTGGTGAATTCGATAATACAAATGAAAAAAACATCTATTTGAAAGTAGTGTTTATTATGCGATAGTGGTTTTGTTCTTGTATTGTATGGTATAATAAGCGTTGCCATTAAAATACATAAGACTACTATTTTTGTTTGTTTTTACATGTTTTTAATTGTCAGCATAATGAATAGTGTTTTATCTCATTAAAACAAGACTGAAATGAGGTTCCTTTCAATAATAAAAACATTCGTAGATACTTTTCCATATTTTAGCTGTTTAGTTTTATTTTTTCAAATGTTACTTTTGCACCAGGGGTAGGGGACGTTAGTAACAAATCCCCGTCTCACAAAACCTTTAAAATGTACATTTTCAAAGCATAATATTGAATAACCACTAACAAATATTTGTAGCCAAATATACCTACTCCCGGACACATAATTCGAACCACCTCGCATTTTTGTCTTAAAGGGTTAGAATACAAAAGTAGTGTTATCGTCAAAGAAAATGTTTTCCCCCGGTTTTGCAAATCCAAATTTCCAAAAAGGATTCAAGGAAAAGACTTTTAGTATAATAGTTTCAAAATTGTTTAATAGTTTTTGATCAATCAAACATTGTTTAAGTTTATGACATTTAATACTAAAAATCCGAGGTGGCTAATTATGTGTCCGGGAGTGTATATTTACATTACTTTACACGGGAAATATTTTAAGGATAAGTCCCTTAATCGAAGCGTGCGTAAAAAGTGTTACTTTTACCTCCTGTCCACCCTATATAAATGATGCAGTAGGTACCTACTTTCGAAACCCTTATCAGAAAATCCAGGTTGCTACTCAAAATTTTACAGCAACATTTTTTTATTAATAACCATGGACGGAACGAACAAGACATGGAACTGGTGGTAAGCGACACGTCTGTTCATCAGGTAACGGAAATTTGGTGATTCTGCGGATTATAAAGGTAGCAATATTATAACGATCGCTTAGCAGATATATTCCTTTGCCTTTTTTGTGGATCTGCAGAAACAAATTAATACCTTGCACATTGACTTATGTCAACATTCTTACTTCCGTTCTTAGTTGATTTAATTAACAGATCATGATAAATGGGTAGCTAGGTACCTACCTACTAGACAACACGTTCGTGTGAATATTAGAATTGGAACTGCTAGGAATTCTTTACTTATCATTTATAGTAGTTACTATTATTTATGTACCTATTAGGTATTTGCTTTTCCAGGGTAATATTATTACCCGTTCTACGCTCATATAAGATGGAATAATTTTAGTTTATGGATGATCAAGTTTAAATATGTAGGTAACAAGTAGAATTTATAAAAGTAGGTAACAATCAAAATACCTACTTACCTACTAGTGTAGACCTATCTAAAAACTTTCATGACGCTTCCGTTTCTTCAAATGTACAAACATAAACAGGCAGCTCGCCCTTGGATTATTTGAAGTCCATCCTTCATCTAAGGAGATTACCTATTATAAAGTATCTAAACGCTTAGTAAATAAATTGTGTATGCTAAGTGAGTAGCAAGTATATACCTCGTAGGCTTTACTAGAGTCTAAAACATACCTTTATTGAAGTTTTTATAATAAGTAGGTAGATAAATGTTGCTATATACATGCCTCAAATGGAATACGAAGTGTTAAAAACGTTGACAATTAATTATTTATATGGTAATGGCGTACCCAAGTATCAATGGGATACCTACACCAGAGCCGGAGTTACGGCAGTTGAAATAACGACAGTTGTGCGACACAATGGTTAAAGCTAGGGTGAGGAGTGGCGGTGGAAATCGAGGGCAGCGTTGCTTGGGCGCCGCCCGGAACGCGCTCTGGGCGTGCTGAGCTCCACCTGCTCGTGCGTGAGCAGGACAATTGGCGCCGCTGTCGCCTCGACAGAAAAGGATAGGTGGCAGAGGGCGGGGCAAGCCTGCGCTGCGTTACCTCGGACGGTGCGCCCACGATAACGCTCATTCGCCTCTCGTTTAGCGTCCGCTATGTAAACGTCCCTTGTTGTGAATCTAAACAAAATCAGTCAGTCGTCGTTTTGCTGCCGTGAGAGCAACGTGTCGAGAATCCCGCAATTGCGGGCGGACTATGTTGTGCCAGTGAACGGGATTTGGCACGATGCACGCGCTGTTCGGTGAACAAAGTCCGTACGCGTACCGCAGTGGAGCAGCCAGCAGCTACCCGGCCAGTGTAACCCCTTATGCTTACGAACAGTACCGATACGGTTATGGAGCACCTTATCTTCATCCGCATCAGCAACACGTTGGAGCACCCAAAGACATGGTTAAGCCACCGTACTCCTACATAGCGCTCATAGCTATGGCGATTCAAAATGCCCCTGAACGTCGTATCACGCTTAACGGAATATATCAGTTCATAATGGAGAGATTTCCGTATTACAGAGAGAACAAGCAGGGGTGGCAGAATTCCATCAGACACAATTTAAGTTTAAATGAATGTTTTGTGAAGGTGGCGCGCGATGACAAGAAACCTGGTAAAGGAAGTTATTGGACATTAGACCCAGATTCGTATAATATGTTCGATAATGGATCGTACTTACGCCGTCGCCGTCGATTTAAAAAGAAAGATGCCTTGAAGGAAAAAGAAGAAGCTATAAAACGTCAGCAGCAGCTGCAACAGGCGCAGGAGGCGCTAGCTGCACAGGAAGCGCTGAGCGCCGCCGATGCGTTAGGACAAACGCGTGATGTAAAGCCAGACGTGAAACCACGTATCTTTGAATGTCGGCCTAAACGTGAGCCTGGTGCAGAATGCGTTCGTTATGACAAACCTGCAGATGCTCTTGACGACTTTAGCGAACCTCGACTGCCACCTTCAGCCGTGTACTGTTCACCGCAACCTTATTCGTTGGCAGCCGAAGAGTTCCGAGCAGCAACTGGCTGGTACACGGCTCCGGAACCGCCGACAGAACAGCTGCCACCAGCGTTTCGCGACATATTTGATCCGCCAAGTTGTCAATTAGCAGGATTTCGTGGTGGTTCACCGCCGTCGGATGCTTACCGCACTTCGTCACCGCCACATCATCACTACCGCACTCCGGCTCCTTCTTATTATCATCACCAAGCATGTGTAGCTGCCGTGCCCACACCAGCCCACAAGTCTTACTGAGACATTGCCCTCAGGTGAGTTTCTGTACTACTAATAATAATATAAATATTTCTGTTTAGAGCTCTGCGCGTTGTCTTGTTTTGTGCTGTGGCGAAGTTAGCTGGGCGAATTTAGATTATTGCACCCTTTCGGTCAGGGGGTGCAGGTTGGTACCTGTGCACCGGAGCCCTTCGTGACGTGGTTGTGGTTGCAGGAGAACGGCATCGTACGGCGCCGAACGGATTTAGCCGCGCGCCTCAGTTCCAGGGCGGATAAATATAGCCGGTAGCCGCAGATGCCGTGGAGGCAAGTGTCGGCGCGTCGATAACAACTGTTTACAGATCGGCGGCCGACCCTGACGCCTCCCGCTCCGTTCAGATCTATAGGTATGTTCTAATAAGTAGGGTCGTACCTCCTAACTTACAATTTCCGAGTCATCGGAGATGCATTATGTTGGTAAGTTAGATATCGTCGTTGCTGCTGTTGCTGTCGCGTTGTCAACGCCTCTTGGGCACTACCAGTAGGTATGTTGTACCAACTAAGACAATCTAATTATAAGTTTTATCCATCGTCTGTCATGTAATTATTTATTACAAAATGAATCATAAGAACATTATAAATAAATAAATAGATATACACAAAAAGGTAGACAAAAAGTAAATCTCTTTATTTGCCTAGAAAAAACAAAGCAATGACGTCAATATTAACTATTATAAGTAGGTATCTATATTAATTATTACTATAAAACTGTGAACAAAATACACTACTATGAATTCAAGTAGCATAGCTTTAATAGTAGGTACTTACCATGTTTAACACACATCACGTACTATACCTAGTTCGTATTTTGTAGATTATGGAAATATCTCAGTATCTACTGAGACTCGACTGTGTAAACTCTTGGAAGTGATAAAAATTGTGTTCCCTGTTGTTTCTGGCTTATGTCAGTCAAACAAGAGAACTGACCATCTGGTGGCCAAGTGCCGCGAACTTGGTAAAAAAAAAACTAAACAACTTTGCTCCCTCACGTTCTTGTGGGGTGGTCAGCCCATGTGAAAAGGATTTGTTATTTTTTTTTGTTGTGAAATATTTTCGTTATAAGTAGAATTGTTTGTTCTTACAATTTAACGAAAACTTTATTTCACATAGTAGGGTAAAATTATAAATCTAAATTACAAAATTCCAAAACTAAACATTATTTCGTTCTCTACAACATGACCTGTATTCGTAACTTCAGTCTCACCTAGGTGGTCATACCTAAATAGAATAGACAGATCGACCTTTGTGATTTCTACTCGAGACGTACTGACCATACCTAGTCATTAATAATGTAAAGTGATTTATAAAGTGATTATAGTTTTACGGCGGAAAATATAAACAATCAGGGTATTGTGATCTAAATAATTTACATGGAAAAATAACATGGCTTATAACAGTTTTCAGCTACAGCTACCTGTAGATAGAGTTCTACAGTAACACCTATATGTATCTTATTTTATTTATGCATAAAGTTTTTTTTATAATTTCCAACTATAATTTAACAGGCTAAACAGTGTGTACTATGTCAGTGAATTCAACAGTGGTTATAATTTTAACTTTATTGTCCTAGGTTTGACGGCTTGAGACAGCGGGAGGTGCGAGTACAGGGAAAAACGAGAATGTGTCATCGTCATATTGAATAGTAAATACTGACTATATGACTGTTGCGGACAAAGTACCATGTACAGACAATTTTAATTTAATATTTACCCGCCGATGGATCCTCTGGATGCGCGAGCGCAGGGCTCCAGTGTGTTGCTGGACATTGATCTCGACTTAAACGAATTCTCATATATTCATAAACAGGTGTGAGTGTGACAGTTATGAATTGTCACAAACGTTAGATTTACGAGTGGTGTCTTTTAAATTTGGACGATTTCAATTCACCGATGGATACCTAATAAAAATCTTATTAGAATACATTTAGATTAAGTCTATTATAGAAAGCATTAATGTATAGTACCAGAAGACTTGTTTAGTGTGTATATTTGTTCACTAGAGGTCTTGTAGATAAGATGAGATCATAAATTAGGTAAAAGTATGTAGTTCGTTAAATTATCCAGTTCATAGAAATAATTTACTTTTGCCATTCACTGGTTACATTACGGGATGTGGATTAAAAGTAACTTAGGTTCTTATTTCATGTAAATAAATAAAGAACATGGTGATTTCCTCAATAACTGTGTAATGATTGCATTGTTGAGATTAGTATTGTACGTACTTGCTCTAGTCTGTTGTTTTGATGTGTAAATTTGTCTTTTCGATAATTACAGTGCAGGCTATTTTACTATTAGGTATATATATACTCACGTAAATAAATATTATTTTAAGTTTAAGTACATGTCGTACCTAGTTGCATTATTTAGGTACAAATGTTTGTAAATGTTTTACTATAAATACATTTAAATATACGCCAACTGTACGAATATATAAAAATACAATTTGTTTTTAATTATACACACCTATTTCTTGAAGTTATTCTGGTTCGAGTTTTAATTTATCGAAAACTTGAGGTTTGTACAGAAAGGAGTCAAGGTAGTTAATCTCTAAATGATATTTTACTAAATATAACGTATTTACTAAGTACCTATATTACTTTCAAATGCCTGCCTCCCCTTGAAGACAACCAGTAATTAAAAGTCTTTATCTCTAATGACGGTTACTGTACTCTAAATATTTATCTATTAAAATTACTAGAATCTTATGACAACGAGAAACTTCGATGTAACTACATACATATGTATGTATTAGGTACTTCTACCTAATACATACATAAGTATATACCGTAGTTACTTCTATACATTACTAGGGTTAACTATCATAAAGGATGAAATCAAACAATAAGATAGAAAACATTCGAATTTGACTTGAATAATATTGTGCTAATCGTACCTATATACATATTTGTTTTACTACTTACAACATCCTATTATGTTCTATTTTATGACTATTGCAGGTTGGGGGCTTCATACATATTTGAAGAATTTATGACACTTAAGAAATACCGATTTCAAAACGATGTCTATCATTATAGTAAGTAGTAAGTCACATAGGTATTTGCAAGTTCTCAGGACCATTATAAAGGATATATGAACGTCAGTCTTGCCTTTTTTCATTTCGGTTGTCCAATTCTGAAATACTTCATGTATAAACATACTCAGGGCTAACACAACTAAATGAAAAACTTGAATACCGTATGAAATTCGGTTGCTGCGTCAAGAGTCCTAAACGACGGCAACGTTCCGTCGTTATATGATGCGCTTGTAAGTACGAAGTTGTGCAAGTTAGTTGCTAGCTCTTGTGTCTCCCAGTCGGTCCATTAATTTTTTGAATATAATTTTGTAGAATAGGAAACTTTTAACTGCCTCCGTGGCCGAACGGTAACCATGCCGGATTGCCACGCAGAGGTCCCAGGTTCGATTCCCGGGCCGGGAGAAATATTTGTACGCCTATATTTATTTATCTCGCGAGTTTGGGTGTAATTTGTGGTTGTCTACGTGTGTATCCATGGCACCCGCGACGTCAGCGTTATTTATTTATATATTTTATTGTTATTGTTTTATTTAATAAATATTCAGTCATATTTGTTGTTACTTTCATAGAGTAAAAAGATTTAATAAACAATATAGTTTAAACGGTTAATCATAATATGATTATTGTCTTTAGAAGAGTAATAGTGAATCTTTGGTTTTCATTTATTACATTTTGGCTTGTGTCTGGTATGATAGCCAGGTGCCACTTTAAGATTACCTTCATAGATAAATCTTTACATGGAGTATAAACCGTGTTGGAAGCTTTTTTTTTCAATATATCGCTCCAGTCAATTAATCATTGATAAAATTAATAATCATTTTTACAATGCCTGTACCATACTATTTACCTACATATTTCTTAACAGTAGCTAAAAATTTATTTAGAGAAACGTCGATCATACAACTTGTTGGTATTATACGACTTTGTGATATTTTAGTATTTGAAATAATTGTGTTTACATACCTAAGCATATTTAAATAAATGTTTATTACTATTATAGAATAATAATATTCATTTATTTTATTCTGTTATAGGTGCTGTTAATATCTTACCGATATTGCATTTGAACTTTAATGAGTATTAGAAGAAGTTTCAAAAAAAGAACGTTGTATTTTTGCTAATTAAAATACCAATTAGGACGCTACTCAAACGACGACGTGATTGGTTAAATCGGCCTAAAAGTCTCGCAACCGGGCCAAAAATCTTCATAAAAAAGAGGATTGGTTAAAATATACCTATATGCGGTATTTGTTTAGTTGTATTCTACCCATATCTTTACTTTTTAGTTTTTTTTTGTTTTGTAGCGTTTGTTTGACTTTCGTCTAAATATATGAGAAGGCTGTATGGTGGAACCTTTGCTTACCTTAATAAATGGGTTAAAATTTATTAAATAGTTATTTTCACCTTGCTAGCTCGGAAATGCTTTCTTTTTCATTACAAATCTGCGCGCATAAGCGTTTTTTCCACGCTAGCGTGGAAAAGGCTTTGAAATTCGAACTTTGAACAAATTTTTTTCGATGAAAAAAAACATAATGACACATCCTACTACGCTATTTGTCATACATTAGGTATTTATGTAACATAAATCCGTTGGTATATTATATTCTTATTATTGTTGACATTAAATTGACAACGATAACTTATTTTGTTCTAAAACTGATTTGTTATAAAGTTACACTGTTTTTCTTTCATCTACCATTTTCCTGGCTATAGTTAGGTGAAAAGTTGTGCGTTGTGTGTTGTTTTGCATCTCGTGCTTTAAAACCTATTTCCAACTTCGCATCCTTGCATAATAAAAGTTGTTGTATGATGCGAGTGCTTGTATTGAAGCTTGAGCAAGCGAAGGACAGGTTCAAAAATAGAATCCTGAGCGTAGCGAAGGTTTCAACGGACGAGACGCAAAACAACTTTGCTGCCGAGCGAAACATACAACTATCCACCTCACTATTGCGAGAACAATGGTAGATGAAAGAAAAACAGTTGAACTATAACAAACTAAATTAGTTATCGTTGTTAACTTAATATCCACAAATCAAATCAGACAAATCGTAAAGTTGAACGTGTCATGTTTTTTTTTTCATCGAAAGAAAAAGGTAGGTCCACCACAGTCCATCGAAAAGTTCCAATTAGAAAAACCTTTTCCACGCTAGCGTGGAAAAAACGCTTATGCGCGCAGATTTGTAATGAGATAGAAAGCCTTTCAGAGCTAGTGAGGTGAAAAAAAATTGCGTTTGTCGACATGGATTGTTAAATATTGGTTCTGTTTCATTATTTTATTTACTCGTAGAAAAAATATTGTATGCAATCATTACATAATTAGGTCTTAAAATCACGTTCCTATTACTTAGACCACTCGGCTTAACAGTTGCATAACTACTGTTATTCGCCCCTTGCAAATGTTTAAAAAGTTAATTTTGTTTAAGGGAAGGTGAAAAATATTTGACAAGTAGGTATGCGTAGACGTATTATTGCCTAGCTAAATAAAACAATCGCGTTTGTTTGATCTCCAAATGCGAAAGCATTTCGTCGTGTAACTACATAAACGCTTCAAAGCATGTAAATTTAACTATGTCGCATTTATAAAAATTCATATAATTTTGTAGGGACGATTGAAAGGATGACAAGTAGTCACTTTGTCAATTGGATAATCTACCCACGAAGTGAATTTTATCGAATCATCTCTTCACTCAATCAAAAAATACACAATCGTCGATACTCGTGCTTCTCGCTCGTGTGTACATACCTATATCGGTGCCCGAATAGACTAGACATAGTAGGTATAGAATTTCAGTGGTTATACAAGTAGAAAGCACAAGATGTATATTTATAGCAAAAATCGAATTAAAACTGGTATATACATTTAACTTACTTTAAAGCGGGAATTCCAATTTTAGTGTGTTACGAATCCTTCGGGCACTTATTGGTAGTAAGCTTTTTTAAATTAATTTTGTATACCTACTTTTTAAAAAGTTGTTTGCAATCGCATCAAACTACTTTAGATAAGTATAAAAAATTATATTATGAGATTCTTATTAATGTTACACATAGCTAGTTTTATTGATGTTGCGTAGAGGCTCTCAACTATAGATTCAAACCTCGCATACTGACGTGAACTAAAAAACCAAGTGTCGATTCAAGCAGCAAGGCTGTGCGCACAATGAATGAACCAAAACACCAAATGCCCAGATCTCTCGATCGGGCTTATTTGTACAGTAATCAGGACTATTAAATGCGTAGTCAGGGTTCTTCTTTTTGTGGTCTGTTTGCACCTCAGACTGCTCTTAAGAGGCCTCTGTCATTTAGTGGCGGATTCTTCAGCTTGACACATCACCACCCGCGTGGAAGAGCTTTAATTTTTATATTAACACACGCAGAGACGATTGGAAGTAATGGAAAGCAAACTCTTGGAATAGTAACTTAATAGGTTGCTTGTAGAGAAGCATATATTTTTAGGAAGGTTATAATTTTTAAAGCAGGCATGTTAAAAGGTAGATGTCGTGGTTACCGAGATCAATTAACCTAATAGTCATTAAGTGGATATTTCTTAATGTATAAAGTAATGAAAGTTTACAGCATGCTTTACAAATTCATTCATGGTTCAACACTCATTGTGCAAGGAAGGAGTGCTTGTTTTGGCAGACTATTCCACAGTCTGTATCGGCCATTGAACCACTACACTCTGTTTGTTGTTTTTCTAAAACATTAGTGTTGATATTGGCACAAATCTTATTTGTTTTAAATGGTAAGTCTCGTGCAAACAGGTAGTATTACACAGTCGTGACCTTACAACTAACACCGTGTAAGTTCGTGGAGAATCAATAAATAGCTTCAAAGTACCTACATGTGTTGTATGACGTACCTATATGCGGTAGTGCAAGATGTATTGTAATGATGTTTTGATGCATTGCAGAATATGTAGATATAATACTGGTTTGATATTCACATGAGAACACTTTAACTAAGGGGAAGCTAGTCGGTAATTTAAGGTTTAAAGTCCGTGACTTTTAGAAGATTTTTTTTAAAATTATGTTTTATTTTTCTACGTAATCTCCTTTTAAGTTCCAACTTTTTCAACCCGTCAAAAAATATTTATTGTCTAACCGAAAAACAAGCCTCTGTTTCAGCTATCACTTGAT